AGGGAGCACTCCTCCTCCTCATTGCTGCTGCTTCTGCTTCTTGCAAAAGGGGGGAAAATGGCCAGAAATGCAAAAAAAAAAGAGGAGGGAGGGCTTGACAGCTGGGGAAGGGGGAGTGGCCTCTGCGCATGCGCGGGCCTCAAGTCCCGGGAGAGAATGGGTGATGCTCCTTGGGAGGTTGGCGCATGCGCAGACCGCACACCCCAGGATGCAAGCCATTGTGCAAAGCCTCTCTCTCTCTTTTGCAAAATGTAAACACACTGACTCCTGGTTGCTTTGTAGAATCCAAAGCTTTGCATTACTAGTATTACTAGTCTTAATCTTACTAATATTTATATTATATTAAAATGTCTATGCAAATATATATATATATGTTTGCAAACACATCTCAATATAACATAAATATATAATATATATTTTCAGACACATAATATACTAGTCTTAATCTTACTAGTCTTAATCTTACCCACAAAGCCTTCCATTTGCAATTATTATTATTATTATTATTATTAGGATGCATGCTATTTGCAAAATTGGCTGCTATGACGTCATATCTCCCAGGATTTCCCCCCCTCCAATGCAAGAGGTTGGGATTCTCCCTAGCAACAGGGTTTCCCCCATCCACGTTGCAGAGTTAAGGCGGGTTCATACCGTTTTAAAAGCTCTTTGGCCCTGGGAGTGGTGTTTTGCAAAGGGGAGGGACGTCTAAATATACTAAATACATTATATATACTGTATAATATATATTATACTATATATATATATATATATATATATATATAATGTGTTTGTAAATATATATATATAATGTTATATTATGTGTCTGCAAATATATATTATATATTTATATTATGTTAAAATATCTATGCAAATATATATATAATGCTATAGTATATTCTGTGTTTGCAAATATATTGTTTTAAAATGTGTGTATGCAAATGAATATATATATATTATGTTATGTTACAATGTGCATGCAAATTTATATTATAATGTGTATGCAAATATATATTATGTTATAGTATATTATAATGTGTATGTATATATATAGTATATTATATTATAGTATATTATAATGTGTATGCAAATATATATTATATTATATTACATCATGTTATAATGTGTAATATAGGATATTGTATATTATAATGTGTATGTATATATATTATAGTATATTATAATGTGTATGCAAATATATATTATATATATATTATATCATGTTATAATGTGTATATGCAAATATATAAGTTATAATGTGCATGCAAATGTATATTATAATGTGTATGGAAATATATATTATGTTATAGTATATTATAATGTGTAAGCAAATATATATTATATATATTGTATCATGTTATAATGTGTATATGCAAATATATATGTTATAAAGTGTGTATGCAAATGCAAATATATATACAAAAATGTTATAATGTGTGCATGCAAATATGTTATAAATATGTTATTATGTATATGTAAATATGTTATAAATATGTTATAATCTTTATGTGCAAAATATATGTTATAATGTGTGTAAGTAAATATATATAAAATGTTATAATGTGTATGCAAATATATATTATGTTATATTATATTATAATGTGTGTATGCAATATATATATAATGTTATAAAGTGTGCATGCCAATATATATATAATATGTTATAATGTGTATACAAATATATATTATGTTATATTATATGTATGCATATATATATATATATGTAATATACCATATGTATATATGTGTGTGTGTGTGTGTGTAATCTCATACAGTATATATATATATATATATATATATATACACACACACACAAACACAAATAAGGAAAGAGTTATGCTGAAAATAAAGATGTGACAAGATACGCAAGAACCGAAAATATATTATTTGATTTCATTTATTAACCGCCTCTCCTTTCAGCTCAAGGTATATATATATATATATATATATATATATATATATATATATATATATATATATATCCTCTCTCCACTCAAGGCAAGGTCATGGAAAATAATAATAATAATAATAATAATAATAATAATAATAATTTATTACATGCCTCTCCTTTCAGCTCAAGATAAATAATAATAATAATAATAATAATAATAATAATTTGATTTAAACATCATAGTTAAATAATAATATTGCAAAATATATCAAACATTTAATAAAGCGAGGGTAGCTTTCAGAAAATACATATTTAAGAACAGGGAAAGAATAATACATAATATAAAGATGTATAGGAAATATATTACTTATTTATTTATACCCCGCTTTATCTCAAAATGGCTTAACACGAAAACATCAGCATACAATTTAAAACATATAAATATTATTATTATTATTATTATTATTATTATTATTATTATTATTATTATTTAGGAAATCTATCCGCAAGTCTATAAAAAAACCCAGCAAGCATGTAATAAGAAAACAAATATAGCAGATTCACAAAATAGAAATAGAAATGCCTGAGAAGTCATCGTCATCATCATATAAATAGTGTGGAAATGTATTTGTAAGCATTTTCGAAATACAAAAGTGTCAAATTCATCCGAAAATATAAACCAGGCAGAACACTGTGAAGCCTGCATTGCATTGATGGAGAAATATATAATTTCTTTGGTTAATTTCTTGCAGCCTTGATAACTCTAATACTAAATATAATAATAATAATAATAATAATAATAATAATAATAATAATAATACTATAAGCAAGGAATTGTACTCTGCTGACATCTAGTGGTCATTTATGATATCAGGTCTTCCTCTGCAAAGAGAAGCCACCTGCATTTTAATTAATGTGCAATAAAGGGTATAAATAAACAAAATAATAATAATAACCCGTAATAAATAAATAAAATATACTAAATAATAATATATTGTTAATATTGCATGTATATACAATATAATATTATTAGCATGGCACAATATTAATATTATATATTGTTATATTGTATTATTAATATTATATTACATTATAAGAATATTATTAGCATAGCACAATATTAGTGTTATGTATTATTATGTTGTATTATTATTAGTATTATGTTGTATTACATTACAATATTATTATTAGCATAGTGCAATATTAGTATTATTATATTAGATTACTATTAATATTATGTTGTATTACACTATAATATTATTATTAGCATAGCGAAATATTAGTATTATTATATTGCATTATTATTAGTATTATGTTGTATTACATTATAATATTATTATTGCCATAGCACAATATTAGTGTTATGTATTATTATAGTGCATTATTATTACTATTATGTTGCACTAAATTATAATATTATTATCATAGCACAATATTAGAGTTATATATTATTATATTGCATTATTATTAGTATTATATTATAATATTACTATTACCATTAGTATTATGTATTATTATATTGCATTATTATTAGTATTATGTTGCATTAAATTATAATATTATTAGCATAGCACAATATTAGTATTATGTATTATTATATTGCATTATTATTAATATTATATTGTATTACATTATAATATTATTATTACATAGCACAATATTAGTATTATGTATTATTATATTGCATTATTATTAGTATTGCATTATGATATTACTATTACCATAGCACAATATTAGTATGATGTATTATTATATTGCATTATTATTAGTATAATATTGTATTACATTATAATATTATTATCATAGCACAATATTAGTATTATTAATTATTATATTGCATTATTATTAGTATTACAGTACAATATTACTATTACCATTAGTATTATGTATTATTATATTGCATTATTATTAGTATAATATGGTATTACATTATATTATTATCATAACACAATATTAATATTATTATATTGCATTATTATTAGTATTATAATATTACTATTACCATAGTACAATATTAGTATTATGTATTATTATATTGCATTATTATTAGTATAATATGGTATTACATTATATTATTATCATAACACAATATTAATATTATTATATTGTATTATTATTAGTATTATATTATAATATTACTATTACCATAGTACAATATTAGTATTATGTATTATTATATTGCATTATTATTAGCACAATATTGTATTACATTATATTATTATCATAACACAATATAAGTATTATTATATTGTATTATTATTAGTATTACATTATAATATTACTATTACCATAGCACAATATCAGTATTATATATTATTGTATTGCATTATTATTAGTATTACATTATAATATTACTATTACCATTAGTATTATACATTATTATATTGCATTATTATTAGTATAATATTGTATTACATTATATTATCATAACACAATATTAGTATTATGCATTATTATATTGCATTATTATTAGTATTACAGTATAATATTACTATTACCATTAGTATTATGTATTATTATATTGCATTATTATTAGTATAATATGGTATTACATTATATTATTATCATAACACAATATTAATATTATTATATTGCATTATTATTAGTATTATAATATTACTATTACCATAGTACAATATTAGTATTATGTATTATTATATTGCATTATTATTAGTATAATATGGTATTACATTATATTATTATCATAACACAATATTAATATTATTATATTGTATTATTATTAGTATTATATTATAATATTACTATTACCATAGTACAATATTAGTATTATGTATTATTATATTGCATTATTATTAGCACAATATTGTATTACATTATATTATTATCATAACACAATATAAGTATTATTATATTGTATTATTATTAGTATTACATTATAATATTACTATTACCATAGCACAATATCAGTATTATATATTATTGTATTGCATTATTATTAGTATTACATTATAATATTACTATTACCATTAGTATTATACATTATTATATTGCATTATTATTAGTATAATATTGTATTACATTATATTATCATAACACAATATTAGTATTATGCATTATTATATTGCATTATTATTAGTATTACAGTATAATATTACTATTACCATAGCACAATATTAGTATTATGTATTATTATATTGCATTATTATTAGTATTACATTATAATATTACTATTACCATAGCACAATATTAGTATTATGTATTATTATATTGCATTATTATTAGTATTACATTATAATATTACTATTACCATAGCACAATATTAGTATTATGTATTATTATATTGCATTATTATTAGTATCATATTGTATTACATTATATTTTCCCATAGCACAAAACTAGACAGGTTGAACCCGGAAGCTCCCTATTGAAAGACACACTGGTTCCCTCTATAATTGTTCCTAGCTCTATGTAACGTTAACGCGTTCGGCGCTTCAGAGGCACGGCGTAGGCCACGCCCACGAGGCTGTGACGCCAAACCGGAAGTAGGCGTGGCTTGGGGGCGATGTTGACGCTGGCGTCAAGATGGCGGCGTGTGGCGGCAGCGGAGGCGGCGGCTTGTCTCGGCGGAGGCCTCATCTGGGCCTGGCCGTGCTGGCGGCGGCGTCCTTGCTGCTCGGGGGCCCCGCCGAGTCCCGCGTCCACCACCTGGCCCTCAAGGTAGGCTTCGGCCCGATCCCCAGGCCTTCCGGTGGGCCTTCTGGGCCTGTGAGGCCTCCCGGACTCCGTTTCCCAGCATCCTCCGCCATCCGCCTTCCCAGCTGAGGCTTCTGGGAGTTGGAGTCCCACAGCAGCTAAGGGACAGGCAAAGGAATCAGGAAGCTTCCCTATTTCATCATCATAATAATAGTAATCGATACTACTCCTTGTATTAAAATAGGATAGAAAGAAATACAATACTAATAGTAATCGATATTATTATTATGACATCAAATAGGAATACAACACTAATACTAATAGATATTATTATTACTATTATTGAAATAGGAATACAATACTAATAGTAATCAATATTATTATTGTTATTACTATTATCGAAATAGAAAGGAATACGGTACTAGTAATCAATATTATTATTATTATTTCTATTATTGAAATAGAAAGGAATACAATGTTAATAGTAATCGATATTATTATTATTACTGTGATTAAAATAGAAATACATTACTAATAGTAATATATGTTATTATTAATGTTATCAAAATAGAAAGGAATACGGTACTAGTAATAATCATTATTATTATGACTATTATTGAAATAGAAAGGAATACAATACTAATAGTAATCGATATTATTATTATTATTATTATGGCTATTATCAAAATAGGAATACAACACTAATAATAATGGATATTATTATTACTATTATTGAAATTGGAATACAGTACTAATAGTAATGGATGTTATTATTATTACTGTTATTGAAACAGAAAGGAATACAATACTATAGTACTAGATATTATCATTATTATTATTGAAATAAGAATACAGTACTAATAGTAATCAATACTATTATTACTATTATCAATATAGAAAGAAATACAGTACTAATAGTAACATATTATTATTATTACTATTATTGAAATAGGAATACGGTACTAAGAGTAATAATAATAATAATTATTATTATTACAATTATTATTGAAATAGGAATACAGTACTAATAGTAATTGATGTTATTATTACTGTTATTAAAATAGAAAGGAATACGGGACTAGTAATAATCATTATTATTACTATTATTGAAATAGAAAGGAATACAGTACTAATAGTAATCGATATTATTATTACTGTTATTAAAATAGAAAGGAATACAGTACTAATAGTAATAGATATTATTATTACTGTTATTGAAATAGGAATACAGTACTAATAGTAATTGATATTATTACTGTTATCGAAATAGAAAGGAATACGGTACTAGTAATAATCAATATTATTATTACTATTATTGAAATATAAAGGAATACATTAATAGTAATAGATATTATTATTATTATTACTATTATCGAAATAGGAATACAATACTGATAGTAATAGATATTATTACTATTGTAGAAATAAAAATGAATACAGTACTAATAGTAACAGATATTATTATTATTACTTTTATTGAAATAGGAAGGAATACAATGCTAATAGTAATAGATATTATTATTGTTTGAAACACAAGATGAGTCCACAGCAAATGAGATCACTCTGCTGGCTCTTGTATTGGATCCCACGTCGGACCCTTCTCAAGTGTCTAGGACTGTTTGATGTATCGGCGAATAATGTGTGCAGATCCCAGTAGGGTGACCTTTTGCAGCTGACATATGGTAATTTTGTCAGCACTGATTGTGTTTAAGTGCAGGCCAAGGTCTTGAGGTACTGTACCCAGTGTGCCGATCACCACTGGGACCTCTTTGACTGGCTTGTGCCGGAATCTTTGCAGTTTGACCTTTAAATCCTCGTATCGTGTCAGCTTTTCCAGTTGTTTCTCTTCACTCCTGCTGTCACGTGGGATTGCAACATCGAGAATGGACACTTTGTTTTTCCCCATGATCATGAGGTCAGGAGTCTTATGCTCAAAAACTCTGTCCGTCTGAATTTGGAAGTCCCAGAGTTTGACATGTTCATTTTCTGTAACCTTTCCGGCTTGTGATCCCACCAGTTCTTTGTCGCAGGCAGATGGTGTTTGTGGCACAAGTTCCAATGGATCATCTAAGCAACGGTGTTGTGCCTCTGCTTGGAGTCTGTCTGCACGATCTTCTTGCAGCAGCTGAGGATGGGATCGATTGTTTCATCTGCTTCCTTGCAGAGTCTACACTTGGGATCTGTTGTCAACTTTTCAATTCTGGCGTTGATGGCATTGGTTCTAATGGCTTGTTCTTGGGCTGCAAAAATCAGGATGTTATTATTATTAGTATTATCGAAATAGAAAGAAATATGATAATAATAGTAATATTATTATCAAAACACATTGTTATTTTAATCAAATTAAAAATTATAACTCAATTGAAACTGAATCAAAATAGTGCTCAACAGTGCAAACAGCGTACCATTGGGCCGGAGTATTGGATGGAGGACAGAGAACAATATATTATCAGGCAACCTAGAGACTGGGCGCTCTCAAACGCTAGCTGAAACATCCAGGTTTATAAAACGACCTGATACACACAACCCGAAGAACATTTTATGCACCATATATTTATGATAATTTCAGATTATCCTGTGGTTGCTCAAGCGGCAAGTAGAGTCATGTGTCATTGAGCAATTACACGTCGCTCACTTCATGCGCCCTGATGCTTGGAAACAGGACTATTTGTACTTTTTTTGATTCCTCGTTTACTCAGGATGATGTTCGGCAGAAAGTCCATCTCAATACCTTCGGTTTCTTCAAAGATGGCTTCATGAAGGTCAATGTGAGCAGCCTCTCGGTCAAGCAGATTGGAGACGTGGACAGGAGCTTCCAGGTAGTTATCGGCTGTACTTCCAAGTTATTATTATTATTATTATGTTGTTGTTGTTGTTTTGTTGTTGTTCTTGCCACAGGGAAAGGCAGGTAATATACTTACTCTTACTGTATTACTGTTATTATTATTACTGCTGCTACTACTACTATTAGTATTATTATTGCCACAGGGAAAGGCAGATAATTTATTATTATTAGTAGCCATCCCTGCCACGCATTGCTGTGGCCCAGTCCTTGTATTTCTGTTTTGTGTGTGTATATGTGTTTATATGTGTGTTTGCATATGTATGTGTGTTTTGCGCATGTGTTGTAATGAAATTTTGGTTTTTTGGCTTTTAAGTCCCTTCTGCTGTGTTTTTCAGTGTCTTTATGAGAGATGGCCACTCATTGGCCTGATAGGTGTCTTGTGTCCAAATTTGGTGTCAATTTCTCCAGTGGTTTTTGAGTAATGTTAATCCCACAAACGAACATTACGTTTTTATTTATATAGATTATGCTGTGTTAGTATTATTAATATTATTGCCACAGGGAAAGGTGGATAATTTATTATAATTATTTTGCAATGTTATTATTGCCACAGGGAAAGGCGGATAATTTATTATTATTTTGCTATGTTATTAATATTAATATTATTGCCACAGGGAAAGGTGGATAATTTTTTATCTTTATTATTATTTTGCTATATTATTATTATTATTATTATTATTATTGCACAGGGAAAGGTGGATAATTTTTATTTATTGATTTATTATTTTTATTTGGAGCCCCTGATGATAAAAACAAAATTAAAACACAGTAGATGTGCTAAAATACCATTAAAAACTCATATTCCGGCCATGAAAGCCTTTGACAACACATATAAGGCTGTTTGAAACCGGATTCAAATGAATTATTTCATTTTTTTTTTAGGTGGGCTTCAGTTTAGACCGAACGCGGAACGATGGATTCTCCACTTACCTGGCAAGTAGAATAAAAGTATTTAATTTATTTAACTGAAGAGAAAGGGGGCCTGGGGACAGTTCCACCTTGTCTCCTGTGATATGCTAATAATACAATGTAATGTATTATATTGTATATAAACATATAATATTTATAATATTACAATGTGATGCAATATAATACTACTAATAAAATTACAATATTATAATTATATATTAATATTACATATAATATTACTAATAATATTACAATATAATGGCATAGTACAATATAGTAATATATAATACTGATATTGTACTATGCTAATGACATAATATATTTTTATAATATGATTTTTATTAGTGAATAACATAAATGACATTAAACAAACACTTATAATATCTTGTATGTATATCTTGTAAGCCACTCTGAGTCCCCTTCGGGGTGAGAAGGGTGGCATAGAAATGTCGTAAATAAATAATTTTTTAAAAAGGAAAATCAGAAAAGCATTCCATTCTTTCACTTGCTATGATGCAATTGCATTCTGTAGCAACTTTTAAATTCATCTCGGTGGGCCTCCAAAGTGAAATCCCTGCTACTTTCAATCCCAAATGCTGTGTTTTTCTATAGAGAGAAATGGGAGTGTGGTAAATACCCTCAATGTTTTTTTCCCGTCCTTAGGATGAAGAAATGGATTACTGCATTTTGAACAAAACCCCAGATCACGACGTTTCGGTCACGCTCCTCCTCCTGGATTTTGCAAAGAAACTGTGAGTCAAAGGTGTCAGCTTTTCCTCCCCGTTGTTACATCTTAAAGCATTATAAGGTGATTTAAAATATCGCCAAAAGCTGTATCTGACCCAGGGCCTTGTCCTGAGCTTCCTTTTAATATATATGTGTTACGGCGAGAATGTTTATGTTTATACTAGCTGTCCCCTGCCAGGCGTTGCTGTGGCCCAGTCTGTTGATCTGGAAAATAAAGTAATGAGAAAGTATTGGTTTCTAATCTATGTAATTTCTTTATTTTTGTGGGTAAACAGTATTTCTTGCTGTTCCTTTGTCAGTATTGTTGTGGAGATTGTCTAGTTTGCACACTCATGCAACATATCATTGTCCTTCTTTAGGGATTTCTTTCAAATCTAAGATACTATATCTCTCTGTGTGTGAATCATATCTATCTATATCTATGGCTGGATGGCTCTTTGTCAGGAGGGCTTTGATTATGTTTTCTTGCCGTGGTGTACGGAGTTGGATTGGATGGCCCTAAGTATGGGGGTTCTGTGTGGGAAGTTTGCCCCAATTCTGTCTTTAGTGGGGGTCAGCATGCACTTTGATTGTAGGCAAACTATAAATCCCAGTAACTACAACTCCCAAATGTCAAGGTCTATTTCCCCCAAACTCCATCTGTGTTCATATTTGGGCATATGGAATATTTGTGCCAAGTTTGGTCCAGATCCATCATTGTTTGAGTCCACAGTGCTCTCTGGATGTAGATGAACTACAACTCCCAAACTCAAGGCCAATGCCCACCAAACCCTTCTAGTGTTCTGTTGGTCATGGGAGTTCTGTGTGCCAAGTTTGGTTCAATTCCATCATTGGTGGAGTTCAGAATGCTCTTTGATTGTAAGTAAACTATAAATCCCAGCAACTACAACTTCCAAATGACAAAATCTATTTTTTTTTAGTGATGGTCACTCCTTGGGTTAGTAGGTGTCTTGTGGCCAAATTTGCCAGCAATTCGTCCAGTGGTTTTTGAGTTATGTTAATCCCACAAACGAACGTTACATTTTTATTTATATAGAGTAGCTGTACCCGCCACGCTTTGCTGTGGCCAACCTTCCCTCTTTCTCTCCTTCTTTCCTTCCTTCCTATCTTTCCTTCTCTTCTTCCTTCCTTCTCTATCTCTTTCCTTCCTTCCCCCTTTTTCTTTCTCTTCTGCTGTCTCTCTTTTCTTCCTTCTCTCTTTCCTTCTTTCCTTCCCTCCCTCTTTCTCTCCATCTTCCCCCCTTCCTTCGCTCCCTCTTTCCCTTTTTTCTTTCCTTTTCTCCTTCCTTCTTCTCTAAGTTTCCTTCCTTCCCCTTTTCTTTCCCTCCCTCTTTCTCTCCTTTCTTCCTTCTCTACCTCTTTCCTTCCTTCTCTCTTTGCTTCCATGCTTCCTTCTCCCTTTCCTTCTTTCTTTCCCTCCCCCCTCCCTCTTTCTTTCTTTCTTTCTTTCTTTCTTTTTTTCTCTCCCCTTCCCTCCCTCTTTCTTCCCTTTTTTCTGTATTGTCATTTAGCTTTTTGTCATTTAGCCTTTTGGGGCTTTTTAAGTCCCTTCTGCTGTGTTTTTCAGTGTTTTTATGAGTGAAGGACATACACTGGGTTGTTAGGTGTCTTGTGTCCAAATTTGGTGTCCATTCCCCCAGTGGTTTTTCAGTTGTGTTAATCCCACAAACGAACATTACATTTTTATTTATATAGATTGTTTTGTTAATCTTATGGTAATGTTTTTTACTCTGTATGTATTGATGAAGTTACTTGGAAACTGCTCTGAGTCCCCCCCCTCTCCCGGGGAGATGGAGCAGTATATCTATAAAGATTATTATTATTATTATTATTATTATTATTATTATTATTATTATTATTATTTATTCTTAATTTGGGGAGAGTTGTGTTTGGTTTGGATCAAAGCCCTTCTTCCTTTCTTTCCTCTGCCAGCATCAAAGTCAAGACCAAAGTCAACACCCCCAACTTGCCGGAAATCATATTCACGGACCCCTCGGCCGAGGCGCAGCCGGCAGGCGCACAGAATGCAGGTAGGTCCTCATAGAATCCTAGAGTTGGAAGAGACCTGGTGGGACATCTAATCCAACCCCATTCTACCAAGAAGCAGGAAAATCATGTTCAAAGCACCCCAACAAATGGCGATTCAGCCTCTGTTTAAAAACCTCCAAAGAAGGAGCCTCCACCACACTTCGCGGCAGAGAGTTCCACTGCTGAACAGCTCTCACAGTCAGGAAATTCTTCCTCATGTTCAGGTGGAATCTCCTTTCTTGTAGTTTGAAGTCAAGAAGCAAGAAAATCGCATTCAAAGCACCCCCGACAGATGGCCATCCAGCCTCTGTTGAAAAGCCTCCATAGAAGGAGCCTCCACCACACTTTGCGGCAGAGAGTTCCACTGCTGAACAGCTCTTACAATCAGGAAGTTCTTCCTCATGTTCAGGTGGAATCGCCTTTCTTATAGTTTGAAGTCAAGAAGCAAGAAAATCGCATTCAAAGCACCCGCAACAGATGGCCAACCAGCCTCTGTTTAAAAGGAACCTCCACCACACTCCAGGGCACAGAAGCGTTCCCCTTCTGAACAGCTCTCACAGTCAGGAAGTTCTTCCTCATATTCCGGTGGAATCTCATTTCCTGTAGTTTATGAGATCTTCTAGAGAGGCCCTCCTTTCGCTCCCACCACCGTCACAAGCACGGTTGGTGGGGACGAGAGAGAGGGTCTTCTCATTGGTGGCCCCTCGCCTCTGGAACACCCTCCCTAAAGAAATAAGACAGGCCCCATCCCTCCCCTCCTTTCATAAGAGCCTGAAGACCTGGTGGTTTCAACAAGCCTTTGAGGGTGACTAGTTCCAGCATAGTAACAGGAAAACATTCAATGGCTATATAAACAACGCAGAGCTAAATATAGATCTATAATTATATATACAAATTTCACGTATGCATTTCCCCCTGAAATGTTTGCAAATCCTCTCTGTCTATATGTGCATTTCCCTCCTTCAATATTTGCAAGCCCTATATATCTATGTTTATATCTATCTAGACAACTGTGTGTGTATGTGTGCATTTCCCCTGCAATATTTGCAAGCCCAATATATGTAGCCCACTATATCTAGACATCTCTCTCTCTATATATATGTGTGTGTGTGTGTGTGTGTGCATTTCCTTGTGTAATATTTGCAAGCCCTATATATCTGTTCACTAGCAGTCCCCTGCCACGCATTGCTGTGGCCCACATGGGGGTTCTGTGTGGGAAGTTTGGCCCAATTCTATCGTTGGTGGGGTTCCGAATGCCTGAGAGGTGTCTTGTGTCCAAATTTGGTGTCCATTCGTCCAGTGGTTTTTGAGTTATGTTAATCCCACAAACCAATATTATATTTTTATTTATATAGAATTACTAGCTGTTCCCTGCCACACGTTGCTGTGGCCCAGTCTGTGTAGATGTGCTTTGTGTGTGTATGTACATGTGTAATAATGCATTCTAATACTAATAATAGATACATAACTGCTTTGAGTCTCCTTCAGGAGAGATAAAGCAGGGTATAAATAAACGTAATAATAATAATAATAATAATAATAATAATAATAATAATAATACATTCTAATACTAATAATAGATACATAGATGCTTGGAGCCTTCAGGAGAGATAAAGAGGGGTATAAATATACATAATAATAATCATCATCATCATCATCATCATTCTAATACTAATAATAGATATCTAGCTACTTTAAGTCTCCTTCAAGAGAGATATAGCAGGGTATTAATAAATATAATAATAATAACAACAACAATGCATGTGTATATATGTGTTTTGCGCATGCGCTGTAATGTTGTTTTTATTTTTTGACTTTGTAAGTCCCTTCCACTGTGTTTTTCAGTGTTTTTATGAGTGATGGTCACTCGTTGGTCTGCTAGAGGTGCAGTGTCCAAATCTGGTGTCAATTCGTCCAGTGGTTTTTGAGTTATGTTAATCCCACAAACGAACATTACATTTTTATTTATATACTAGCCGTCCCCTGCCATGCGTTGCTGTGGCCCACATGGGGGTTCTGTGTGGGAGGTTTGGTCCAATTCTATCGTTGGTGGGTTTCAAAATGCTCTGTGATTGTAGGTGAACTATAAATCCCAGCAACTCCCAAATGTCAAAATTCTATTTCCCCCAAACTCCAGCAGTGTTAACATTTGAGCATATTGAGTATTCGTGTAGAGATTGGTCCAGATCCATCATTGTTTGAGTCCACAGTGATCTCTGGATATAGGTGAACTACAACTCCAAAACCAAAGGACACTGCCCACCAAACCCTTCCAGTATTTTCAGTTGGTCATGGGAGTTTTGTGTGCCAAGTTTGGTTCAATTGCATCGTTGGTGGGGTTCAGAATGTCCTTTGATTGTAGGTGAACTATAAATCCCAGCAACTCCAACTCCCAAATGATAAAATCCATTTTTTGAGTGAAGGACATACATTGAGTTGTTAGGTGTCTTGTGTCCAAAATTGGTGTCAAGGTTTTGAGTTCTGTGAATACCACAAACGGACATTACATTTTTATTTATATTGATATATAGATATCTCTTTATATATAGATAATTATATCTACCATATATAGGATTTGCAAAGAGTTGCAAATATATGAGGGGAAAATTCATATATTATATAAAATTAGTGTAGGTAGATAGATACAGATAATATATAGGTACATAGGGATTGCAAAAGCTTGCAGGGGAAATGCCTGTATATCTGTAGGAGAGATTAACAAATATTTCAGGGGAAATTCTTTTATAAGATTAATGTATATATATGTCTATGTATCCATCCATTCTATCCCTCCCTCTCTCTCTCTCTCTCTCTCTCTCTCTGTGTGTGTGTGTGTGTGTCTATCCCTATCTATCGTTTTGGTACCCTTTGTTTGGTGAGAAGGCCTGAAAGTCTTTGCGAGAGTTGATGCAAATACCCACCGTATTCAAACGTGTCGTTTTTCTGTCTTTTGCACCTCTAGATTCGAAGCCGGTCTCCGGTCCAAATGGAACTGCAGTCCAGGTAAAAAAAGGGCAAGGGGGAGGCAGTTCTGTTGGCATTTTGAGCAGGAACGTTATTTGGGAATGTTTCTGCATAATTACATTTAGAATACTTCATTCTCTGAACTGCACAAATCAGATCTTTGCATGGCCTCCGTCCAGCAGGAAACCATTAGTCTTTGGCATGTAGTAACAGTGGGCAAGTCAACAAGGGAACGGGGCTTTATCCAACCTCTGTGGTTGCCATTTTTGTGTAAGGGATGCCATTTTCTCCTAGCAGATAGCAAGAGCCCACTATAGTCTAGTTTTGGTCTTGGGACCCTCTAAGGCAGTGTTTCTCAACCTGGGGGTAGTGAGGGGTGTCATAGGGGTCACCAAAGACAATCAGAAAACACAGTATTTTCTGTTGGTCCTGGGTTCTGTGTGGAAAGTTTGGCCCAATTCTATTCTTGGTGGGGTTCAGAATGCTCTTTGATTGTAGGTGAACTATAAATCCCAGCAACTACAACTCCCAAAGGTCAAGGTCTATTTTCCCCAAACTCCACCTGTGTTCACAATTGAGCTTATTGAGTATTTGCGCCAAGTTTGGTCCAGATCCATCATTGTTTGAGTCCACAGTGCTCTCTGGATGTAGGTGTACTACAACTCCCAAACTCAAGGTCAATGCCCATCAAACCCTTCTAGTACTTTCTCTTGGTCATGGGAGTTCTGTGTGCCAAGTTTGGTTCAATTCCATTGTTGGTGGGATTCAGGATGCTCTTTGATTGTAAGTGAACTATAAATCCCAGCAACTACAACTCCCAAATGTCAAGGTCTATTTTCCCCAAACTCCACCAGTGTTCACATTTGGGCATATTGAGTATTCGGGCCATGTTTGGTCCAGATCCATCATTGTTTGAGTCTGCAGTGCTCTCTAGATGCAGGTGAACTACAGCTCCCAAACTCAAGTCAAGGCCCACCAAACCCTTCCAGTTTTTCCTGTTGGTCATGGGAGTTCTATGTGCCAAGATCGATTCAACTCCATCGTTGGTAGAGTTCAGGATGCTCTTTGATTGTAGGTGAACTATAAATCCCTGCAACTACAACTCCCAAAGGTCAAGGTCTATTTTCCTCAAACTCCACCTGTGTTCACAATTGAGCTTATTAAGTATTAATGCCAAGTTTAGTCCAGATCCATCATTGTTTGAGTCTACAGTGCTTTCTGGATGCAGATGAACTACAACTCCCAAACTCAAGATCAAGGCCCACCCAACCTTTCCAGTATTTTCCGTTGGTTCTGTGTGCCAAGTTTGGTTCAATTCCATCACTGGTGGAGTTCAGAATGCTCTTTGATTGTAGGTGAACTATAAATCCCAGCAACTACAACTCCCAAAGGTCAAGGTCTATTTTCCCCAAACTCCACCAGTGTTCACATTTGGGCATATTGAGTATCTATACCAAGTTTGGTCCAGATCCATCATTGTTTGAGTCCAGAGTGCTCTCTGGATGCAGGTGAACTACAACTCCCAAACTCAAGATCAAGGCCCACCATACCCTTCCAGTATATTCTGTTGGTTGTGGGAGTTCTGTGTGCCAAGTTTGGTTCAATTCCATCATTGGTGGAGTTCAGAATGCTCTTTGATTGTAGATGAACTATAAATCCTAGTAACTACAACTCCCAAGTGACAAAATCACCCCCCAACCCCTCCAATATTCAAATTTGGGTGTATTGGATATTTGTGCCAAACAGTGATTGAGAATACATCCCTGTATATCAGATATTTACATGCCAGTTCAGAACAGTAGCGAAATTACAGTTATGAAGTAGTAATGAAAACAATTGTATGGTTGCTCTAAGGAGAGGCTAATGTTGTTGTTGTTGCTATTGTTATTTGTCTTCCTGTTTAGACTCAGGTGCCAGCCGAAGTCACCCACCCCATCCAAAGCAAAGACAATGGTTACTCCTTCCAGGTGAGCTCTCCTCTTCAAAGTTTACCTTCGTAACTTAAATAAGGCTCAGCCTTGAGTCTGGATTTTATTATCATTGGCTTTGGAGGCTCCTCTAACCCTTCCTTTCCTCTCCTCCCAGTTCTCCTTCAACGTCAGCGCAGAGACCCAAGAGGGGCTTTATAGCCTCTATTTCCACAAATGCGTCGGGAAGGATGTGCAAAATGAGCAAGTCATCTTCAGCCTGGAGGTGAGTCACGTTTCTCTCTTGTGTCATTTCAACATGACAGGTCTGAGAAAAACCCTCTTGAGTTTATTTACTTTCTGGTTGCTGCCGTGTGCTTTCCATTCCTTTCTGACAGACTATGACTTTGTGTGGCTTTTACTTGACAGAACACCATGTTTCATGGCATATTATTCACACTCTCCCCGTCCATCCAAAAGGGGGAGGATGCGACTGTTATGTGAGGAAAAAAACTGTTTGAAGAAGGAAGGAAGGAAGGAAGGAAGGAAGATCTGAGCTCCAAAGATCTCTGTTTCAGGTTTTTGAAACTGCCTTGCCTTCAGAGAAAGAAAGAAAGAAAGAAAGAAAGAAAGAAAGAGGAATTTATTTATGTGCGACAATTATGCGAGGAAAAGCTATCCGCATTTGGTTATCTTGTTTTAGGGTTGTGTTTTTTTTTCTATGCCTCCAAAAAGAGGAGGGATAATGTCGCACTCCAGGACTGGGAACACCTCTGTACTTAACACCACACTCTAGTCCAAGTAAAATAGCAAAATAGTTTATTAAAGAATATATATGTAAAAGGTTCACCAAAATAGTATGAAAAACTGAAGTCTAAATGTAAGAAATAGTCCACAGAATTCAAGGTACAAGAGTAGCATTAAAAAGTACGAATACAAAAGCAGAATAAATCCCTAACACAAGATTCAGGAACTATCTTTGAAACTTGGAAGCATGGAACATGAGCAACAGGAAACATGGAACTTGAAATCCCTTTGCAGTCTTGATGTGGCACCAGATGTATCCTCAAACATCAACATTGAACAGAATGCCGAAATACAGTCTGTCTGCTAATACAGACAGAAAACCATGCCTTCTCCCCTAAGAAACTGATAATGGCTTTTTTGATCTTCGCAAACTGTTGAGCAGCTCTGTGTTCATGGAACGTAAATCTCCTATCTATCAGCTCATTAGTCTGTCCACCTGGAATCTCATCCTCTGAGTTCATTTCTGACTCTGACCTTGCTTCTCAAGCTTTGGAGAAAGAAATAAGAAAGGAAGGAAGTTCTGAGTTCCAGAAATATCGGTTTCAGGTTTTTTTAAAAACTATTTCCTTTGCATTCTGGTTGATGTCCAATTTGGTGTCTTGAACTTTTTACTCTGTCTTGTATCGGCAAGTCGGCGGAAGCTTTTACTACCAAGTTTGTTCTCTCAGATTCCTTTGCACCTTATTAGCCGATTAGCCCTTCGGCGGCAATTTTCCTTCCCTCCCCATGGCATCCGGTGTGTGGTCTTTCACAGGGATCTTTCTTCTCTGCGTTTCAGATTGGGATCATGGAGCAGAATCCCGACAGCTACCTCTCGGCCGGAGAAATCCCTCTCCCCAAGCTCTACATCTCCATGGCCTTCTTCTTCTTCATTGCTGGAACCGTCTGGATCCACACGCTTCGGAAACGCAGGTGAGTGGACAGTGTCCTCCAGAATAAGTCTTTTCTGTTGGGACTCAACCACATCCTGCACAAATTTATAGAAATAGATTGGCGACTATTATGCGAGGAACACCAAAAAAAATCAAATTTGCCCAAATTTATCGTCTGCATGAAAGAAATAGATTGGCGACTATTATGCAAGGAACACCAAAAAAAATCAATTTTGCCCAAATTTATTGTCTGCATGAAAGAAATAGATTGGCGACTATTATGCAAGGAATACCAAAAAAAATCAAATTTGCCCAAATTTATCGTCTGCATGAAAGAAATAGATTGGCGACTATTATGCAAGGAACACCAAAAAAAATCAATTTTGCCCAAATTTATTGTCTGCATGAAAGAAATAGATTGGCGACTATTATGCAAGGAATACCAAAAAAAATCAAATTTGCCCAAATTTATCGTCTGCATGAAAGAAATAGATTGGCGACTATTATGCAAGGAACACCAAAAAAAATCAATTTTGCCCAAATTTATTGTCTGCATGAAAGAAATAGATTGGCGACTATTATGCAAGGAATACCAAAAAAAATCAAATTTGCCCAAATTTATCGTGTGCATGAAAGAAATAGATTGGCGACTATTAATGCGAGGAACACAAAAAAAATCAACTTTGCCATTCCCAAAATATAATTAGAGGAGAGAGAAATTTGTCATAGATTGCACGTGATGGCCTCCAGGCTCTGCTGCGAAGGAGGCTTTTTCAGCTCAACAAAAGGGCTGAAAACTGGACTTCTCTTCGAGTATATAGGTATGTCAACAAAGTCCAAATATATAGCCCTTTCCTTCTCGATTCTCCCTTCCAGGACCGACGTCTTCAAAATCCACTGGCTCATGGCTGCCCTCCCTTTCACCAAATCCTTGTCCTTGGTCTTCCATGCAGTAAGGAACGCTTTATAGATTTCTATCTGTAATTTCCTGCCATAGAAGTAAAGACTGTTATTTATTATATTTATTGCTGTTATTGTATTTATTAGTGTATTACACTTACTAATATGTTTATTTGTCATATCAGAAGCAATTGAGGAAATATATTTCTTATATGTAGTTGTTATATTTATTGTTATATTTATTGCTGTTATTGTATTTATTAGTATATTACACTTATTATTAATATGTTTATCATGTCAGCAGCAAATGAGGAAATTTATTTATTATATGTAATTGTGATATTTATTGTTGTTATTATTGTTTATTATATTTATTGCTGTTATTGTATTTATTAGTATATTACACTTATTAATATGTTTATTTATTGTGTCAGAAGCAATTGAAATATATTATATGTATGTTATATTTGTTATTATTTATTATATTTATTGCTTTTATTGTAGTTATTAGTATATTACACTTATTAATATGTTTATGTATTGTGTCAGAAGCAATTGAAATATATTATACGTATGTTATTATTTTTTATTATTTATTATATTTATTATTGCTGTTATTGTATTTATTAGTATATTACACTTATTAATATGTTTATCGTGTCAGAAGCAATTGAGGAAATATATTTATTATATATAGTTATTATATTTATTGGTCAATCTAGTGACTTGCCTCAATGCATTTTATATTTTGATGTTGTCATTATTTGGCATTTAAATTCTCGGGTTGTTTTCTTAGACCGTGTTATATTCCGACGTGGTTAGTTTTGACAGCCTTCTCTTAAATATAGCATATGTAGAGTGTTTCTTTTTTAAAGCTGGTAAAGTTTTGAGTCGTGGCTCCAAACGTTTTGTCCCTTTTCTCTTTCCAGATCGATTACCACTACATCTCGACTCAGGGCTACCCTATTGAAGGCTGGGCGGTCGTCTACTATATCACTCACCTGTAAGTGGGGGAACTAATAGATTGACGTCAACCTTTAGATTATGTTTAGACAGTTATTCAGACAATTAAAATTTGATCAAGGAGTTTGAAAGAGTTAAACCATCCAATAAGATTAATCAAGAATAATCCAGGTCCTTCATTGGCAGAGTTCAGAGCGCAGTTCTTAAATTGCAGTGAACTATACATCCCAGGACCTACAACTCCCATAAATAATGATGAATTCTCCCCAAACCTCTCTAGTATATTCAGTCGCTGATCAATTCCTCTGTTTGCTGTGTGCCATAGAAAAGAATAGGAACGTGTCAAAGGAGAGGCAGTGGGTGGGATCATGCAAATTCCACACCAAGGGAGAGAGTAAGGAACACTGGGATGCCTGTGGTGGAGGAAACACATAAAATCTAGGACTAAATTGCCTTCCCTTGGGTGGTGGGAAGTGTGGTGTTTGTGGAGGACATTGGCAGGGCTCTTGGACATGTTCATGGCACTCGCTGTAACATACAGTGTCATTGGAGAAAGGGCCATTGGTGTCTTCAGAGTGGTGGGAGCTATAGTTCTTTATGGAAGTGGGAGCTTCTCTGTGTAAGTGGACACCCCAGCCACATACACACATACATATTTTAATTTCTTGGTGTGTGTGTGTTTGTGTATATATATAAATGAATAATAAATAAATACAAATTATATATATATGTGTGTGTGTGTGTGTGTGTGTGTGTGTGTGTGTGTGTATGTATATATATATAAAAATATATAATATATAAATAATAATAATAAATAAAAATAATAAAAAGATATATAATAAATAATAATAAATATGTGTGTATATATAAATATATAATATATAAATAATAAATTTTAAAAAATAAAAATAATAAAAAGATATATAATAAATATGTGTGTGTGTGTATATGTATGTATGCATATATAAATATATATAATATATATAATAAGTAAATAAAAATAAAAATAATAAAAAGGTATATAATAAATAAATATGTGTGTATATATATATGTATGTGTATATATATAAATATATAATATATAAATAATAATTTGTGTGTTTTTATATTTATGTATGTATATATGTGTGTATGTGTATATATGTGTGTGTGTGTGTGTGAGAGAGAGAGAAAATGTTCCTTTGCTGCAGATCCCAGCCCGTGCCTTTTTGCTTGTTTCGTTTCCCAGGCTGAAGGGCGCCTTGCTGTTCATCACCATCGCCCTCATTGGCACCGGCTGGGCGTTCATTAAGCACATCCTCTCCGACAAGGACAAGAAGATCTTCATGATTGTTATCCCACTGCAGGTGAGCAACTGGCAGTCCTTTGATCCATTTATTTTAAGGATTTTGTCCTCTGATTCGTTTATTTCACAGGGGGGCACCATGTCTGCCATTGACATAGATAGCAATAGCTAGATTAGGTGGATATGAGATTGAGATAGAGAGATACACAGAAGCAGATACATATGAGAGGCATAGTGTGATAATAATACATTTATGGTAAACTAGCCACCCCCTGCCATGCATTGCTGTGGCCCAGTCTGTGTATATGTGCTTTGTGTGTATATATGTTTGTGTATAAGTGTATATATATGTGGTTGTGCACATGCGTTGTAATGTATTTTAAATGTATTGGCTTTTTAAGTCCCTTCTGCTGTTTTTATGAGTGATGGTCACCCGTTGGCCTGATAAGTGTATTGTGTCCAAATTTGATGTCAATTCGCCCAGTGGTTTTTGAGTTATGTTAATCCCACAAACGAACATTACATTTTCATTTATATAGACTAGCCGTCCCCTGCCAGGCGTTGCCGTGGCCCAGTTTGGTGATCTAGAAAATAAAATAATGAGAAAGTGTTGGTTTCTAATGTATGTAATTCCTTTCTGCTTGTGAGTAAACAGCATTTCTTGCTGTCTCTTTGTCATTGTTGATGTGGAGAGTGTCTGGTTTGCCTACTCAGGAACATGGAACATATCATTGTCCTTCTGTAAGGGTCCTTTTCAAATCTACGATACTATATCCCTCTGTGTGTGAATCATATATATCTCTCTATATTTATGCCTGGATGGCTCTTTGTCAGGAGGGCTTTGATTGTGTTTTCTTGCCCTGGTGAAGGGAGTTGGACTGGATGGCCTTAAGTATTTTCTGTTGGTCATGGGGGTTCTGTGTGGGAAGATTGGCCCAATTCTGTCATCGGTGGAGTTCAGAATGCTCTTCGATTGTAGGTGAACTATAAATCCCAGCAACTACAGCTCCCAAATGTCAAGGTCTATTTTCCCCAAACTCCATCTATGTTCATATTTGGGCATATGGAATGCTCAGATCCATCATTGTTTGAGTCCACAGTGCTCTCTGGATTTAGGTGAACCACAACTCTCAAGGTCAATGCCCACCAAACCCTTCTAGTGTTTTCTGTTGGTCATGGGAGTCCTGTGTGCCATGTTTGGTTCAATTCTATCATTGATGGAGTTCAGAATGCTCTTTGATTTTGGGTGAACTATAAATCGCAGCAACTACAACTCCCAAATATCAAGGTCCCCAAATTCCACCAGTGTTCACATCTGGGCAAATTGAGTATCCGTGACAAATTTGGTCCAGATCCATGATTGTTTGAGTCCACAGTCCTATCTGGGTGTAGGTGAACTATAATTCCCAAACTCAGGGTCGATGCCTGCCAAACGCTTCCAATATTTTCTGTTGGTCATGGGAGTCCTCTCTGCCAAGTTTGACCCAATTCCATTGTTGGTGGAGTTCAGAATGCTCTTTTATGGTAGGTGCACTATAAATCCCAGCAACTACAACTCCCAAATGACAAAATCAATCCCAAGCCCACCAATATTCAGATTTGGGTGTATCGCATATTTCTGCCAAATTTGGTCGAATTAATGAAAATACATCCTGCATATCAAATATTTACATGACGATAACAAAATTACAGTTATGAAGTAGCAATGAAAATAATGTTCTGGTTGGGGGTCAGCACAACATAAGGAACTAAGAAGGCATCAGGAAGGTTGAGAACCACAGCTATAGATGATTAGGAGTAGCAGAGAGAAGACCATGAACGAGACAAGCGACATGAAACAGAACTCTGAGATGGATATGAAATAGAGAGAGAGAGATGTGGCCATCTTCACGTGTCCCTTGTTGGTTTTGACCCACCAGGTCTTGGCCAACGTGGCCTACATCATCATTGAGTCGACGGAAGAAGGCACCACGGAGTACGGCCTCTGGAAGGAGATCCTTTTCCTGGTGGACCTGCTCTGCTGTGGCGCCATCCTCTTCCCGGTCGTGTGGTGAGTAAACCCACGCTCTCATGGACGAAACCTACTCACAGCCAGGGCTTGAAAGAGTGGAGGGTTGTGTGGTTTTCAGGCTGTATGGCCAGTGTGTTCTCGCAGCATTTTCTCCTGACATTTCGCCTGCATCTGTGAGTGGCATCTTCAGAGGATAGGATGGTGATAAAACAACTAGAATATAGAAATTTGTAGAATCATGTCCAGGGCGGGAGGAAAGAACTATGGTCTTTATTGCCTGGAGGCATCATTTGTCTGGGTAAGCCCTTGATTGCTTATTATATGTGCTTGGATGGTGTTCCTTATTCACTATTGAGAAACACTAGAATCGAGACTGAATAAGGAACACCAACCAGACACAGGATGCCTCCCTACGGGAAGCAATCAAGATCTTAGCCAGAAAAAAAGGATGCCTCCAGGCAACAAAAGCCAGGCTACTTCCAAGCTTGCTGATTGCATCCTTCATACTAGTTTAATTAACGGACAATTCCCAGTTAAAAGCCATTCAAAACATCTTGCACCTCCAGCATTCCCCTCAATAGGACTGGTCAGTTCTTGCTATCTCCTCTGGGGTTTATTTATTTATCGTATCAGGAGTGAACCAAACAGTTGTACTGTATATTTTTTCAAGCAAACAAACAATTTTTTTATTTATTTACTACATTTGTATACCGCTCTTCTCAGCCCTCGGGCGACTCAGAGAGGTTCACAATAGCAAAATTCAATGCTTAAAACATTATAAAACAGTTAAAAATAATTAAAACAATAGCATTATAACAAAAACTCACAAAGTTTGCAAACTTGGCATTTTATTAATTGTCTTTTGTCCAGTAGCTGGCCACTTGGAGTTACAAGTTATTAGTCCACATGACTATTGACGATCACAACAACATCAACATTTATTTATAACGTCAGGAGCAAACCAAACAGTTGTATTGCATTTTTTAACAAACAGACAGACAAAATACAAAGTTTGCAAGCTTGGTCGTTGATTAGATGTCCTTTGACCAGTCTCTGGCCACTTGGAGTGCCTCTGGTGTTGCCGCAAGGTCCTCCATTGTGCATGTGGCAGGGCTCAGGTGGCATTGCAGCAGGTGGTCTGTGGTTTGCTCTTCTCCGCACTCGCATGTCGTGGATTCCACTTTGTGCCCCATTTCTGAAGGTTGGCTCTGCATCTCGTGGTGCCAGAGCGCAGTCTGTTCAGCGCCTTCCAAGTCGCCCAGTCTTCTGCGTGCCCAGGGGGGAATCTCTCATTTGGTATCAGCCATTGGTTGAGGTTCTGGGTTTGAGCCTGCCACTTTTGGACTCTCGCTTGCTGGGGTGTTTCAGCGAGTGTCTCTGTAGATCTTAGAAAACTATGTCTTGATTTAGGTCTTTGGCGTGCTGGCTGATACCCAAACAGGGGATGGACCGGAGATGTCTCTGCCTTGGTCCTTTCACTATTGGCTGCTACTTCCTGGTGGATGTGAGATGGTGCAATACTGGCCGAACAGTATACTTTCTCCTGTGGTGTGGGGTACAGATATCCTGTGATAATGCAGCATGTCTCATTAAAGGCCACATCCATGTTTTAATGTGTGAGATGTGTTCCACACTGGGCATGCATACTCAGCAGCAGAGTAGCAAAGCACAAGGGCAGATGTCTTCACTGTGTCTGGTTGTGATCCCCAGGTTGTGCTAGTCAGCTATCGAATGATATTGTTATACATATCATATGTATAAAGAGACAGAGTGTCATAATAATAATAATTTATTAAATAAGGCAGTTTGGGTCCGTTGTCTGGTTGTGATCCCCAGGTTGTGCCAGTCAGCTTTCGTATGATATTATTTTTAGCGCCCACCTTTTGCTTGATAGTCAAGTAGTGCTTCTTGTAGGTCAGAGAATGGTCCAGGGTGACTCCAAGGAACACCTCAGCAGACACAGTGAAGACACCTGCCCTTGCGCTATGCTACTCTGCTGCTGAGTCTGCATGCCCAGTGTGGAACACATCTCACCACACTAAAACAGTGGATGTGGCTCTTAATGAGACATGCCGCATTATCACGGGGTGTCTGCGCCCTACACCACTGGAGAAATTACACTGTCTAGCCGGTATCGCACCACCTGACATCCGCCGGGAAGGAGCAGCCAATAGTGAAAGGACCAAGGCAGAGACATCTATAGGATTGTGCTACCCTGTGTATATTTGGAGAGTTAACCGACCCTTTCTTCTTGGATTTAGGTCCATAAGGCACTTACAAGAAGCCTCTGCAACAGACGGGAAAGGTAAGGACTCACCTGATTGGAGGGTTTTTTCCCCTGCCTTTATGAAATGGAGTCGCTTTGGTGGCATCTTGCAATTAAAGAAATGCAGTAATTGAATATATAAACATCTCCCAAAAACTGGGTGTGTCTTGCAATTGATGGCATCTTGCAATCGAAGAAATGCAGTAATTTGCATATATAAACTTCTCCAGAAAATGGGGTGCATCTTGCAATCAAAAGAAATTCACTAATTTAATACATACACATCTCCCAAAAGTGGGGTTTGTCTTGCAATTGCTGGCATCTTGCAATTAAAGAAATGCAGTAATTGAATATATAAACATCTCCCAAAAACTGGGTGCGTCTTGCAATTGATGGTGTTTTGCAATCGAAGAAATGCAGTAATTTAATATATAAACATCTCCAAAATAGTGTGCGCCTTGCAATTGATGGCATCTTGCAATCGAAGAACGATAGTAATTTAATATATAAACATCTCCGACAAATGGGGTGCGTTTTGCAAATGAAGAAATGAAGTAATTGAATATATAAACATCTCCAGAAACGGGGTGCGTCTCGCAATCGATGGCGTCTTGCAATCAGAGAAATGCAGTAATTTACATATATAAACATCTTCAGAAAATGGGGTGCATCTTGCAATTGAAGAAATTCACTAATTTAATACATACACATCTCCCAAAAGTGGGGTTCGTCTTGCAATTGCTGGAATCTTGCAATTAAAGATGAGTGCATCTTGCAATTGATGGCATCTTGCAATTGAAGAAATGCAGTAATTTGCATATATAAACATCTCCAGAAAACGGGGTGCGTCTTGCAATCAAAGAAATTCACTAATGTAACACATACACATCTCCCAAAAGTGGGGTTTTGTCTTGCAATTGCTCTCATCTTGCAATTAAAGAAATGCAATAATTTAATATATAAACATCTCCCAAAAACTGGGTGCATCTTGCAATTGCTGGCATCTTGCAACTGAAGAAATGCGGTAATTTAATATATAAACGTCTCCAAGAAATAGGATTCGTTTTACAATTGTTGGTGTCTTGCAACCAAAGAAATACAGTAATTGAATATATAAACATCTCTGAAAAATGGAGTGTGTTTTGCAAATGAAGAAATGAAGTAATTGAATATATAAACATCTCCAAAACTGGGGTGTGTCTTGCAATTGACGACATCTTGCAGTTCGAAGAAATGCAGCAATTTAATACATAAACATCTCAGAGAAATACAGCCATTTAATTTCGTCCCGTGAAACAGAGCCTCGAGTTTCCAGCATTGATTGGCGGGACTCCCACCCAAGTTCCGGCCCTGCTTAGCTTCCAAAGTGAGATTATTTTGACCCAGGCGGAAGGCCTGAGGCTCCTTCTCTCAACGTATCTCTCTTACTTGATTTGCCTCAAGTGTCCTAAGAACGCGGCACTTTTCCTTCTGTCCTTGGGACTTTTCTGCAAGCGCAAGCGATAACATGGTCGGGAACGCGGGTGAAGTGAAATCGAAGATGCGGCGGATCAGGTGTTCCGGGGAGAGAAGTTTACCTGTCAAGGTGACTTTGGGTTGATCGTGATCTCCTGCCTTGTACACAGCATTCTTTTCAATGCGCTGACGAACCCAAAGAGCCCAATATTGTGCTGTTTAAATGACTCACTCCTCCTGGGCGCTTGGCTGGCATCTCCCAACTAATCCAGGACTTTCGTAGGATTTACTATTTATTTGTCGTGTGAGAATACATTTGTAATGTGTGAAAAACCACAAAGAAAGTTAAAATCTTGGCATTACACTAGATTTCCTTTGACCAGAAGCTGCCCACTTGATGTGCCTCTGGTGTCGCTGTGAGAAGGTCCTCCATTGTGCATGTGCCAGGGCTCAGGTTGCATTGTTGTTGGTGGTCTGTTCTTTTCTCCACACTCGCATGCTGCGGACTCCACTTTGTGGCCCCATTTTTTAAGCATCTTGTGGTACCTTCCAAGTTGTCCCGTCTTCTGTTTGCCCAGGAGGGAGTCTCACATCTGGTCTCAGCCACTGATTGATGTTCCGAGTTTTAGCCTGCCACTTTTGGACTCTCGCTTGCTGAGGTGTTCCTGCAAGTATCTCTGTAGGTCTTAGGATGCTGTTTCTTGATTTAAGGTGTTGCTGCCTGATATCCAAACAGAGGATGTGCCAGAGACGTCCATCTATATAAATAGAAATGTAATGTTCGTTTGTGAGATTAACATAACTCGGAAGCCACTGGATGAATTCACAAGGAATTTGGACACAAGACACCTCTCAGGCCAACAAGTGACCATCACTCATAACCCCCCCCCCCCCAAAAAAAGCACAAAGAACTTAAAAAACCCCAAAAGCTAAATGACAATAAAGAAAAAGGGGAGAGAAGGAAGAAGGAAAGGGAGAAGGAAGGGTGGAAGCAAAAAGTGAAGGAAGGAAAGAGGTAGAGAAGGAAGAAAGGAGAGAAAGAAGGAGGGAAGGAAAGAAGGAAGGGTGGAAGCAAAAAGTGAAGCAAGGAAGGAAAGGGGTAGAGAAGGAAGAAAGGAGAGAAAGAGGAAGGAAAGAAGGAAAGGGAGAAGGAAGGGTGGAAGCCAAAGGCAAAGGAAAGAGGGAGAGAGGAAAAAAGAGAAAGAGGGAGGGAAAGAAAGAAGGAAAGGGAGATGGAAGGATGGAAGCAAAAAGCAAAGGAAGGAAAGAGGGAGAGAGGAAGAAAGAAGAGAAAGAGGGAGGGAGGGAGGGAAGGAAAGAAGGAAAGGGAGAAGGAAGGGTCAAAGCAAAAAGCGAAGGAAGGAAGGGAAGAGGGAGAGAAGGAAGAAAGGAAAGAAAGGGGAAGGAAAAGAAAAAGGGGGAGCGAAGGAAAGAGGTAAAAAAGGAAGGAAGGAGAGAAGGAAAGACAAAAGGGGAAGGAAGAAAGGAAGGGGAGAGAAAGAAGAAAATGGGAGAGAAGGTTGAGCCTGGTGGGTACAGCTAGTGCCTTATAAAATCATTTACACAAATAACTAGCCACTTCCAGAAGAAACTAAAAGTTTCATCTATGCTGACGATCGTGTCATCACTGCTCAAACTTTGAAATGGTTGAACAGAAGCTCTCCAAAGCTCTAGGTGCTCTTACTGCCTATTATGTGGCCAAAGTACTTCATATTTACTTCAGAGAGTCATCTACACTGACGATCATGTCATCACCACACAAGCAGGAAGCTTTGAAGTTGTTGAACAGAAGCTCTCCAAAGCTCTAGGTGCGGTTACTGCTTATTACAGGGGAAACCTGCTGATTCCTAATCCATCTAAAACGTAGATGTGCTTTGCACCTTAAGAACAGACAAGCATCTCAAGCTCTGAGGATGACCTGGGAAGGAATCCCAGCTGACCTCCATCTGGAGCGCTCAAGGGCCAGGGCTTCCCAGTTCTCAGTGTCTATGCCAGAGTTTTTAAGGTTGGCTTTGAGACCATCTCTAAATCTCTGTTCCTGTCCACCAACATTGCATTTTCCATTCTTGAGTTTGGAGTAGAGCAACTGCTTTGGGAGACGGTGGTTGGGCATCCGGACAACGTGGCCAGTCCAGTGAAGTTGATAGCGGAGGACCATCGCTTCAGTGCTGGTGGTCTTTGCTTCTTCCAGCACGCTGACGTTTCTCCACCTGTCTTCCCAAGAGATTTGCAGGATTTTCCGGAGGCAACGCTGATGGATTCGTTCCAGGAGTTGCATGTGACGTCTGTAGACAGTCCACGTTTCGCAGGCGTATAGCAGGGTTGGGAGGGGAATGGCTTTATCAACAAGCACTTTAGTCTCCCTACGGATGTCCTGGTCCTCAAACACTCTCTGCTTCATTCGGAAAAAAGCTGCACTTGCAGAGCTCAGGCGGTGTTGTATTTCGGTGTCGATGTTGACTTTGGTGGAGAGGTGGCTGCCAAAGGAGCAGAAAAGGTCCACATTTTCTAATGTTACACCATTAAGCTGTATCTCCGGCATTGGAGAGAGATTGCCTGGTGACTGCTGGAACTTCCTGACTGTTCAGCAGTGGAAGTCTCTGACCTGGAGCCTCGGCAGTGAAATGAAATGGCTTTCGCTCAGCACTAAGATGACCATTAGGACACAAATCCTATCCTTTCCAATAAGAATTGCTTGCGATTAAGCTATTGCAGTGAGGGATTGCGGCGATCCGTGTTTCCATCTTCCCGCAGCGGCCGTTATTCCCGGCGAATCTGCGAATGGCAGGCCAGATCCCTGCTTTCTCCCCCTTCCTTTGCCCTTTGCAAGGTTGTCGCAGCCCTAGGAGGCCATGTTCCTCGCTTCCTGCCGCATCCTCGCTCGACAGCCGCTCCATCTGCCGCTTTTGGCGACATCCAGACACGTTTTGGGGGGAAGCGGAGCATCACCTTCCCAGTCGCCCAATGCGCTGGCTCAGAGGAAATCACATAAAACCGAGCACCGTCGCCAGCATCCTGTTGCTTGTTTTCCAACTGTGGATACAGGATGCGCATCGTCGGGAGAAAAGTCTCGCCAGGGTGTTCGTTGTATAATAATGCATTCTAATACTAATAATAGATACCTAGCTGCTTTGAGTCTCCTTCAGGAGAGAGAAAGAGGGGTATAAATAAACATAATAATAATAATAATAATAATAATAATAATAATAATAATGAATTCTAATACTAATAGTAAGTATATAGCTGCTTTGAGTCTTCTTCGAGAGGGATAAGAAGGGGTAATAATAATAATAATAATAATAATAATAATAATAATAATGCATTCTAATACTAGTAATAGATACCTAGCTGCTTTGAGTCTCCTTCAGGAGAGAGAAAGAGGGGTATAAATAAACATAATAATAATAATAATAATAATAATAATAATAATAATAATGCATTCTAATACTAGTAATAGATACCTAGCTGCTTTGAGTCTCCTTCAGGAGAGAGAAAGAGGGGTATAAATAAACATAATAAATAATAATAATAATAATAATAATAATAATAATAATGAATTCTAATACTAATAGTAAGTATATAGCTGCTTTGAGTCTTCTTCGAGAGGGATAAGAAGGGGTAATAATAATAATAATAATAATAATAATAATAATAATAATGCATTCTAATACTAGTAATAGATACCTAGCTGCTTTGAGTCTCCTTCAGGAGAGAGAAAGAGGGGTATAAATAAACATAATAATAATAATAATAATAATAATAATAATAATAATAATGAATTCTAATACTAATAGTAAGTATATAGCTGCTTTGAGTCTTCTTCGAGAGGGATAAGAAGGGGTAATAATAATAATAATAATAATAATAATAATGCATTCTAATACTAATAATAGATACCTAGCTGCTTTGAGTCTCCTTCAGGAGAGAGAAAGAGGGGTATAAATAAACATAATAATAATAATAATAATAATAATAATAATAATAATAATAATGAATTCTAATACTAATAGTAAGTATATAGCTGCTTTGAGTCTTCTTCGAGAGGGATAAGAAGGGGTAATAATAATAATAATAATAATAATAATAATAATAATAATGCATTCTAATACTAGTAATAGATACCTAGCTGCTTTGAGCCTCCTTCGGGAGAGATAAAGCAGGGTATAAATAAAACATAATAATAATAATAATAATAATAATAATAATAATAATGCATTGTAATACTAATAATAGATACCTAGCTGCTTTGAGTCTCCTTCGGGAGAGAGAAAGAGGGGTATAAACATAATAATAATAATAATAATAATAATAATAATAATAATAATAATAATTCACTCTAATACTAATAATAGATACATAGCTGCTTTGAGACTCCTTCAAGAAATAAAGCAGGGTATAAATAAACATCATAGTAGTAGTAATAATAATAATAATCATCATCATTATCACACAGTCCTACACTCTTGGGAAGTGTTTGACTTGTGATTTTGTGATACGAAATCCAGCATAGAGATCTCGTTTGCTGTGACATACTGTGCTTTTGTGTCAATAATAATAATAATAATAGATACATATTATTATTATTATTATTATTATTATTATTAAACTTTATTTGTACCCCGCTAGCATCTCGCGAAGGATTCGATACGGCTTACACAGGCCGAGGCCTCAACACACAACACAACAGTACAATCTAAGCAAATCAAACAATTAAAAACAGAATAAAGCAAAATAAACAACAGGCACAATACACTAAAACACAATAAAACTGGGCCGGGCCAGAGAATGGGTACAAGATTAAAAGTGCTGATAGTTGCTTTGGGTCTTCTTTGGGAGAGATAAAGGGGGGAAAATAAAATAATAATAATAATAGGCTATTAAATGTCAAGAAGTTCACCAAAATTTTCCCCCTTTCTACACATGGATGATCTGAAGCTTTATGGAAAATCAGAAACTGAAATCCAGTCTCTGACCAACGCCATCATTTTGTAAGTTTTATGTGTCTCCCTCTGATGTATTCTTCTGTGTTCTTTTCTGCAGCGGCCATTAACCTGGCAAAGCTGAAGCTGTTCCGACACTACTACGTGATGGTAAGGCATCTGATGCAATGAATAAATGAAATAAATGCATATATTACTGTCGGGGGCAGAGATCGGTCACCGTTTTGACCTGTCGGCTTCCTCTCTGGACCTCCAGTGTGAATAATAGGTCTCTCCTTATAGGGGTTGGTCTGTTTCCGAGGGGGGAATTGATCTCTTGTCTCTCTTGCTTTCTCTCCTTGCTGACTTTGTCTCTCCCCCTGCCTTGTTCTTTTCCCCTGCAGATCGTCTGTTACATTTACTTTACGCGGATCATTGCCATCCTCATCAAAATCGCCGTTCCGTTCCAGTGGAAGTGGCTGTACCAGGTGCGGACGCTCTCGTTTCAAAGCTGCATCAGTGTGCCCTTGGTTTCATGTTGCAGCCGCTGCTCCTACTAACATAATAATAACAACAACAACAACAACAACAACAATAATAATAACAACAACAATCTATATATATAAAAATGTAATGTTCGTTTGTGGGATTAACAGAACTCAAAAACCACTGGACGAATTGACACCAAATTTGGACACAAGACACCTAACAACCCAAAGTATGTCCTTCACTCAAAAAAATGATTTTGTCATTTGGGAGTTGTAGTTCACCTACATCCAGAGATCACTGTGGACTCAAACAATGATGGGTCTGGACCAAACTCTACACGAATACTCAATATGCCCAAATGTGAACACTGGTGGAGTTTGGGGAAAATAGAATCTTGACATTTGGGAGTTGTAGTTGCTGGGATTTATCGTTCACCTGCAATCAATTCTGAACCCCACCAACGATGGAATTGAACCAAACTTGGCACACAGTTCTCCCAGGACCAACAGAAAATACTGGAAGGGTTTGGTGGGCAGTGTCCTTTGGTTTTGGAGTTGTAGTTCACCTACATCCAGAGATCACTGTGGACTCAAACAATGATGGATCTGGACCAAACTCTACACGAAGATACTCAATATGCCCAAATGTGAACACTGGTGGAGTTTGGGGAAAATAGAGTCTTGACATTTGGGAGTTGTAGTTGCTGGGATTTATAGTTCACCTACAATCATAGAATCAAAGAGTTGGAAGAGACCTCATGGGCCATCCAGTCCAACCCCATTCTGCCAAGAAGCAGGAATATTGCATTCAAATCACCCCTGACAGATGGCCACCCAGCCTCTGTTTAAAAGCCTCCAAAGAAGGAGCCTCCACCACACTAGGGGGCAGAGAGTTCCACTGCTGAACCGCTCTCACAGTCAGGAAGTTCTTCCTCATGTTCAGATGGAATCTCCTTCCTTGTAGTTTGAAGCCATTGCTCTGCGTCCTAGTCTCCAGGAAAGCAGAAAACAAGCTTGCTCCCTCCTCCCTGTGGCTTTCTCTCACATACATGGCTATCATGTCTCCTCTCAGCCTTCTCTTCTTCAGGCTAAACATGCCCAGCTCCTTAAGCAGCTCCTCATAGGGCTTGTTCTCCAGACCCTTGATCCTTTGAGTCGCCCATTCCAAGCATTCGGAACCCCACCAATAGAATTGGGCCAAACATCTCACACAGAACCCCCATGTGGACCACAGCAATGCGTGGCAGGGGACGGCTAGTACATATAAATAAAAATGTAATGTTCATTTTTGGGATTGACATAACTCAAAAACCACTTGATGAATTGACACCAAATTTGGACACTGCACCCCTAAGATACCAATGAGTGACCATCACTCAAAAAAAGCACTGAAAAACACAGTGGAAGGGACTTACAAAGCCAAAAAATGAAAACAACATTACAGCGCATGCGCAAAACACGTATATACACATATACACATGCATTGTTATTATTATTATTATTATTATTATTATTATTATTATATTTATTAATACCCTGCTATATCTCTCTTGAAGTAGACTTAAAGTAGCTAGATATCTGTTATTAGTATTAGAATGATGATTATTATTATTATTATGTTTATTTATACCCTGTTTTATCTCTCCCGAAGGAGACTCAAAGCAGCTAGGTATCTATTATTAGTATTAGAATGCATTTTTACACATGTATATAAAAAGGTAAAGGTAGTCCCCTGACATTAAGTCCAGTAATGTCTGATTCTGGGGTGTGGTGCTCATCTCCATTTCTAAGCCGAAGAGCCAGCGTTGTCCATAGACACCTCCAAGGTCATGTGGCCAGTATGACCGCATGGAGCACCGTTACCTTCCCACTGGAGCGGTACCTATTGATCTACTCACATTTGCATGTTTTCAAACTGCTAGGTTCTGTTTTCGAACTGGCAGAAGCTAGGGCTGACAGCGGAAGCTCACGCCGCTCCCTGGAATTGAACCTGCGACTTTTTGGTCAACAAGCTCAGTGCTTTATATACACATATACAAACACAAAGCACATATACACAGACTGGGCCACAGCAACACATGGCAGGGAACAGCTAGTAATTCTATATAAATAAAAATATAATATTGGTTTGTGGGATTAACATAACATAACAAACCACTGGACGAATGGACACCAGATTTGGACACAAGACACCTCTCAGGCCAGTGAGTGACCATCACTCATAAAAACACTGAAAAACACAGTGGAAGGGACTTAAAAAGCTAAAAAAAAAATACATTACAACGCATGGGCAAAACCACATATATACGCATATACACATACATAAACACACAAAACACATATACACAGAATGGACCACAGCAACGCGTGGCAAGGGACACCTAGTAATAGTAATGATAATGATAATGATAATAATACCGTTTTTCTCTCTCGAACCTTTCCTGCGTCAGCTGCTGGATGAGATGGCGACCCTGGTCTTCTTCCTCCTCACTGGATACAAGTTCCGGCCGGCCTCGGACAATCCCTACTTGCAGCTCTCTCAGGACGACGACGACAGCCTGGACATGGAGGCCGTGTAAGGAGACTGACACCAATACCTGATATGCCCAAATTTGAATACTGGTGGGGTTGGGGGGATTGATTTTGTCATTTGGGGGTTGTAGTTGCTGGGATTTATAGTTCACCTACAATCAAAGAGCATTCTGAACTCCACCAACAATGGAATCAAACCAAACCTGGCACACAGAACTCCCATGACAACCAACAGAAAGTACTGGTGGGCGTTGACCTTGAGTTTTGGAGTTGTAGTTCACCTACATCCAGAGCATGCCATACTGGATTGAATTTGAACGCAGACCATAGAACATACCCACTGGACATAACATTCTGAATTCCACCAACAGTGGAATTCAACCAAACCTGGCACACAGGACTCCCACAACCAACAGAAAACACTGGAAGGGTTTGGTGGGCACTGACCTTCAGTTTTGGAGTTGTAGTTCACCTACATCCAGAGAACACTGTGGACCCAAACAATAATGGATCTGGACCAAACTTGGCACAATTAGTCAATATTTTCAAATGTGAACACTGGTGGACAGAACAGTGGGAAAACAGACCTTGGTATTTGTAGTTCCTGGGATTTATAATTCACCTACAATCAAAGAGCAGCCTCAACCCCACCAATGATAGAATTAGGCTAGACTTCCCACACAGAACCCCCTTGACCAACAGAAAATACTGTGTTTTCTGATGGTCTTCGGGACCCCTCTGACACCCTCTTGCAACTCATATAAACACACAAATACATAAGGTTATTCCATGAAGCTTTCAGGCTAATAAGCTATGTTGAACTGACGCTTTCACATAGTTTCTAGGAGGCCTAAATACCTTCCCAACATCAAAACATTAGGCTCTCGGCATCATAAAAGCATTGCGACGACCTTGCATTGAGCTAGCCTCCCGTCTGCTTGCCAGACGCGAACTGCGCCTGACCCGGAGATCAAGGTGAGCTTCTCGGGTCAAATCCTTATCTACACTTTTGATATCATCGTGGGAAGGCACCTGCTCGCTATTTCCTTTGTTAAAATTCCTTTCTGGTGAAAACAGCTGTGTTGACACTGCACTGTCTGTGAGAGCCTCGGAAGCAGGCTCAGAGATTTGTGGCACAGACAAAGAGCCAGGAAGCTGAAACCCAACAGGAATCTGAATCCCATCATTCTCATCGTCCGAAACTAGCTCAGCCAAAACAGGTTCATAGGGGAGAATACGGGACCCCACAGTACAATGGCCGTGGGGCCATATACATATGCACACACACATACAGAATACACAATATGCATGTACACATATAAACACACAGACACACACACACACACACACACATATATATATACACCCACATATATGTGCAAACACACATATATACACAAATATATATACATATACAAAACACATGTAAACAGACAGAGCCACAGCAACGCGTGGCAGGGGGTGGCTAGTAAATAATAAAATAAGATGTAAACACCCCTCCTTTCCCTCATTGAAAAACCCAACCACTCTCCCAGGCTCTGGAGTAACAACACCCTCTCTGTCTGAACCACAACACAACACAATCAAATGTTTTTGTTTTTATTGCAGGGTGACCACTTCGGGAGTCATGGAAGGCATGAAGAAAGTCAAGAAAGTGGTCAACGGCTCATCGGAAGTGCGAGGCGAGCGGGAAAGCACCGCGTGACGGGCGCCATGATGGATTCTTCCTTCCTCCTCGATCTTCTCCTTTTTTATTATTATTATTATTATTTCCTCCGACTCCCTCTCAACCCATAGGGCAAGGCAGCACTTTCTGTTGGTTTTTTTTTCTTCCTCCGGATAAACTGTAATTTATTGATCTTTGGCTTTCCTTCTGCAACGGAACAAAAGGGAGCCGGACGGCGCTTCCCGGTGCGGAAAATGCAGAATATTCTGGATTTTTTGGGGGAGGGAAAGGGCTGTGGCTTCGGGGTGGGGAACTGGGACAAAATCCAACCGTAATAACAATAATAAAAATAATAGAGGGCAATGCCCACCTTCTACTTAACTGCCTGACGGACTTGGGCGCTTTTCCGGTGCCGACCAGGACATTTCTTTTTAATTTCTAATTTTGTGTGTGGATATATATATCAATCTATATATACTTATATATATAGTGGTGATGGTTTCTTTTATAACCTTTCCCTTGTTTTTAATTTTGACGGGCGCGGCTTCCCAAATGTGAAAAAAGACGACGACGTTAAGACGACGAGAGCAAAAAGAGTTGTGTATATAAAAAGAACAACAAAGATTGAAAGATAGAGATATAATATATATATATTTGATATGGCTCGTTTGTGGTGTGCTGGGAAGAGGGTCAAGGCCCCGCGCCTCTCGTCCGATGGTTCCGTTCTCTAACATTCTTCTGAGTCGAGGCATTTTTTATTTCCCCCCACCCCAAAATAATACGTTTAGATGGAGAAAAGGATAGAGCAGACATTAGGAGGTAGAAATAGGACCAAATGGATACCCAGCGTCCGTCGGAAGAGGAGTCTCGGATCTACAGAACAGTGAGTGCGGCAATCGGCCATTGCAGGGATTTTGGGGATACATAATAATAATAATAATAATAATAATAATAATAATAATAATAATAATGTAATAATAATGTAATAATAATAACAACAACAATAACAGTGAGTGCGGCAATCGGCCATCGCAGGGATTTTGGGGATACATAATAATAATAATAATAATAATAATAATGTAATAATAATGTAATAATAATAACAACAACAACAACAGTGAGTGCGGCAATCGGCCATCGCAGGGATTTTGGGGATACATAATAATAATAATAATAATAATAATAATAATAATAATAATAATGTAATAATAATGTAATAATAATAACAACAACAACAACAGTGAGTGCAGCAATCGGCCATTGCAGGGATTTTTGGGGATACATAGTAATAATAGTAATAGTAATAATAATGCAATAATACGAAATAATAATATAACAATAACAACAACAAGGAGTGTAGCAATCAGCCATCGCAGGGATTTTTGGGGATACATAATGATAATGATAATGACAACGATGATGTAATAATACAAAATAATAATAATAATGTAACAGTAATAACAACAGTGAGTGCAGCAATCGGCCATCGCAGGGATTTTTGGGGATACATAATAATAATAATAATAATAATAATAATAATAATAATATGATGATGATGATGATGATGATGATGTAATAATACAAAATAATAATAATGTAATAATAACAACAGTGAGTGCAGCAATCTGCCATTGCAGGAATATTTTGGGATACATAATAATAATAATAATAATAATAATAATAATAATAATATAATAACAACAACAACAGTGAGTGCAGCAATCAGTCATCACAGGGATTTTTGGGGATACATAATAATATGATGATTATCATGATGATGATGTAATTATATGAAATAATAATAATATAACAATAATAATAACAGTGAGTGCAGCAATCGACCATCACAGGGATTTTTGGGGATCAATAATAACAATAATAATAATGATGATGATGACGATGTAATAATACAAAATAATAATAACAACAACAGTGAGTGCAGCAATCAGCCATCGCAGGGATTTTTGGGGATACATCATAATAATAATAATAATAATAATAATAATAATAATAACAACATCGATGATATAATAATATGAAACAACAATAATAATATAATAACAGCAACAGTGAGTGCAGCAATCAGCCTTCGCAGGGATTTTTGGGGATACATAATAATAATGACGTCGATGATGTAATAATACGAAATAATAATATAACAGCAACAGTGAGTGCAGCAATCGGCCATTGCAGGGATTTTTGGGGATACATAATCATGATGATGATGATGATGTAATAATACAAAATAATAATAATAATAATAATGTAATAATAATAACAACAACAACAGAGAGTGCAGCAATCGGCCATTGCAGGGATTTTTGGGGATACATAATCATGATGATGATGATGATGTAATAATACAAAATAATAATAATAATAATAATGTAATAATAATAACAACAACAACAGAGAGTGCAGCAATCGGCCATCGCAGGGATTTTTGGGGATACATAATAATAATAATGTAATAATACGAAATAATAACAACAGCAACAACAGTGAGTGCAGAAATCGGCCATCGCAAGGATTCTTGGGGATACATGATGATGATGATGTAATAATACGAAATAATAATAATAATAATGTAATAATAATAACAATAACAGTGAGTGCAGCAATAGGCCATCACAGGGATTTTTGGGGATACATAATAATAATAATAATAATAATAATAATAATAATAATAATAAATGTAATAATAATAAATGTAATAAAACGAAATAACAATAATGTAATAATACGAAATAATAGTAATGTAATAATACGAAATACAGCATATAGATCCTGTTTGCTGTGACTTACTGTGCTTTTGTGTCAATAATAATGTAATAATAATAATAAGGTTGTCCCCGAACATGAAGTCCAGTCATGTCCGACTCTGGGACTCCGGTGTTCATCTCTATTTCTAATCCGAAGAGCCGGCGTTGTTTGTAGACACCTCCAAGGTCATGTGGCCAGTATGACTGCATGGAGCGCCGTTACCTTCCCGCCAGAGCAATACCTATTGATTCGAACCTGCGACCTTTCGGTCAACAAGCTCAGTGGTTTAACCCACTGTGCCACCGGGGCTCCCAAAAGCGGTGTCAAACTGCAATAATTCTCTGGTATAGATGATAATAATAATAATAATAATAATAATACTCCCTGGTTTCCTAAAGTGGTGTCCAAGTGCATTAATTCTATGGTATAGAATCTAGGGAAACAAGGGAGTATAATTATAGTAATATTATTATTAAATATTATTATCTATACTATAGATAATAATATTTAATATTATTATTATTATTATACTCCCTGGTTTCCCTAAAGTGATGTCAAACTGCATTAATTATATAGTATTGATAATAATAATAATAATTGATATATTATTATAATTATACTCCCTGGTTTCCATAAAGCGATGTCAAATTGCATTAATTCTATGGTACAGATAATACTATTATTACTATTTTACTGACACAAAGCCACATTATGCCACATCTAACGAGATCTCTATGCTGGATTTCGTATCACAAAATCACAAGTCAAACACTTCCCAAGTGTCTAGGTTATTACTATTATTATTATTATTATTATTATTGACACAAAAACACACTATGTCACAGCAACCGAGATCTCTGTGCTGGATTTCGTATCACAAAATCACAAGCCAAACACTTCCCAAGCGTCTAGGTTATTGTTGTTGTTGTTGTTGTTATAATTATACTCCCCAGTTTCCTAACGTGGTGTCCAAGTGCATTAACACTACGGTATAGATAATAATAATAATATTTCATTATAATGTTATATTATTATTATTTAATGATAATGAAAGTTAATAATATTTCATTATGATATTATATAATAATAAAATGTAGTAATAATACATTATTATATTATTTTATAATATACTATAATATAATATTACATTGTTATAATTATATTATATAATAATTTAATAGTACAATAATTTAATAATATAATGATAATACGTATAATTTAATAATAATTACTTTATAATATTGTAATATAATATACTATATTATAGTATATAATATACTAATACACTATTATTAAATTATTATAATATTTTATTTAGTTATTTATTTGGAAGATTTCTATACCGGCCTTCTCGCCTCAACCGAGGGACTCAGGTCGGTTTACAGCATATATGCAATTACAAAATATACAAATACAACCGAGTACATTATTAAGGATTAAAACAACACAGTAAAATACAATAAAACATCATTACATATAATATTATAATAATTTAATTTAATAATGTAATAATAATAATACATATATATGTACCCCATTGCATACCTCTTGGTTCCGAGTGTTCGAATGTCAGAATTTTCCCCCGAAGACCAGACAATCTTTAGAGAAAAATAGAATTTTTAAGCTGCATCGGCGACTGAGAAATTGTCAATCATCCCCAAACCTTTTAGATCCCAGGCTATCATCCTCAACCTTTAGACTATCTAACCTATCATCCTCAACCCTTCCAGATACCAGACTATTTAATCGATCCTCCCAATCTCCTTGAGCTGTGAGGAGAGGTGGGTAAGCAATAACATTATTATTATTATTATTATTATTATTATTATTATTATTTTACTGACACAAAAACACAGTATATCACAGCAAATGAGATCTATATGCTGGATTTCATTAAATTATTATTATTATTGCAATTATTATTTGGGGCCATCCTAAAGTTTGCAATAGCAAGGAGAGAATTTCCGTCGTAATCCAATCAACTTCTATTATTATTATTATTATTATTATTATTATTATTATTATTATTGCAATTATTATTATTTGGGGCCATCCAATTTGGTGCATTGCAGCATTGCATTGCAAAAGGATATATATATATATGGGGTGTGAAAATATATATATGGGGTGTGAAAAAAAGGGAGGTGTTGCATCGTTGGCTTGCAAAATAAAATTGCAATGATGATTGCATTCTATCCCGTGATGGTTCGAAGGGAAAACAGAAAGTGGGACCAAACTGGGTTAATTTGCAAGTGTAGACGCGTTCCTCCCTAACCCACCTCCATTCTCTGTCATCCCACCCGGCTTGAATATAAAAATACGACGGGATGATTAAGGGCCGGTCGCATTTGCAATTATTCATATCCGTGGGAGGCGTTTGCAGCCAAACAATGCCTGCTCTCGTCAATCCAAACTCATCAATGGTTTGAATATATATATAATTTCCAGGTTCGAACCCACAAATCCCTATATATATACCATTGTAGAAGCATACTGGCAAGCTATTTAGCCTCAGCAGACTGAAAGCTAAAACCAAGGTCACAACAACATCTGTTATAGAACTCCACTATGCCAATGATAACGTAATCTGTGTGCATTCAGAATAATATATATATAGAGAGAGAGGGATTTGTGGGTTCGAACCTGGAAATTAGAAAGATTTGTACCTTCAATGCTAATCCTGCCTGGAGACTGTTTGGTAGTAGGGGTTGCTGGGATTTGCAGTCCAACTCTCAACATCTCAGAGCTTAAAATGGTGTCAAACTGCATTAAATCTATGGTGTGGATGCGTCCCGTCGGCCATGTCCATTATATGAGATTTCCTTTAGGATTTCTTATTTTTTATTCTCAAAGGTGGATATTTATCTTGAAAATGTATCCTCTCATAGTAATAATAATAATAGTAATAATAATAATAATAATAATTTATATTTTTAATTTATTATTGTTATTGTTATTGTTATTATTATTACCTGCTTCCAAGACCCATATGGATCTGTTCTCATTGGAGGGAAATGTTCCTCTTGTGCACTATCCCTCAATCAACCCTTCTACCTCTGTCTACCTGAGAGTAGGTGGCATATTGGAGTTATAGAATTACAATATGCTGATGATAATGTAGTCTGTTCACATTCAGAAGACCTACAAGTCACTCTAAACACCTTTGCAGAAGCATACTGGGAAGCTATTTAACCTCAGCAGACTGAAAGCCAAAAACAAGGTCACAACAACATCTGTTACAGAACTCCAATATGCCAATGATAACGTAATCTGTGCGCATTCAGAATAAAACTTACAAGTGACTCTAAACACCTTTGCAGAAATAGACTGGGAAGCTGTTTAACCTCAGCAGACTGAAAACCAAAACCAAGGTCACAGCAACATCTGTTACAGAACTCCAGTATGACGATGATAACATAATCTGTGCGCAGTTAGAAGAAAACCTACAAGCCACTCTAAACACCTTTGCAGAAGCATACAAGAAGCTTGGCCTCTCAATGAACATCGAGAAAACCAAAGTGTACTTCCAGCCGTGTGTTCTCCTTGGAGGGAAATGTTCCTATTGTGCCCCATCCCTCAGTCAACCCTTTCGAATGTGAGTTCTAGAACTACAATATGCTGATGATAATGTATTATGTTCACATTCGGAAGAAGACCTACAAGCCACTCTAAACATCTTTGCAGAAGAATACTGGCAAGCTATTTAACCTCCACAGACTGAAAGCCAAAACCAAGGTCACAACAACATCTGTTATAGAACTCCAGTATGCCAATGATAATGTAGTCTGTGCACACTCAGAAGAAACCTTACAAGCCACTCTAAACACCTTAGCAGAAGCATACGAGAAGCTCGGCCTCTCAATGAACATCAAGAAAACCAAAGTGCTCTTCCAGCAGTCACCAGGCAATCCCTCTCCAATGCTATACTCCCAACTCAAGAATAGGAAATGTAATGTTGGTGGATTGAAAGATGGGCTCAAAGCCAACCTTAAAATCTCTGGCATAGACACCGAGAACTGGGAAGCCCTGGCCCTTGTGCGCTCCAGCTGGAGATCAGCTGTGACCAGCAGTGCTGCAGAAGAGGCACGAATGGAGGGAGAAAGGGAAAAACGTGCCAAGAGGAAGGCGTGCCAAGCCAACCCTGACCAAGACCGCCTTCCGTCAAAACCGATGTCCTCGCTGCGGGAGAAGATGCAGGTCAGGAATAGGGCTCCAAAGCCACCTACGGACCCACCGCCAAGACACTACATTTGGAGGACCATCATCCTCGGGCAACCATCCTGCATGCTCCAAGATTAAGATAATTGCGGGAGGCCGTGCTCTCAGTCCGGCCTCCTTTGCAGGCACATCTGGTGAGAACGAAGGACAGGGCCTTCTCGGTGGTGGTCCCTCACCTATGCAACTCCTCCTCCTCCCTCCTGGCCTTCAGAAGGAAAGTGGAAACCTGGCTCTGAGGTCGAGCCTTTGGAGATTAATCTACAGTGCAATAATAACTACGAAATACGTGCAGTGATTTTTGGAATGAGGGTGGATAGCATGATTTTAACAGTAATGGCAATGTTTTTATATGTTTTTCATGTGCATTTAATTTTTAAATTTTTGACTTAAAATGTATTTTAATGGTTTGTTGTGCAAAGGCATCAAATAGTTCCCATATGTAAAGCGGGGTAAAAACAGAGTAAATAAGTAAATAAATACATTTGTGGCAGAAAGGGGTTGGATGACCTTTGGGGGGCCCTTTCAGCCCTGGGATCTTCTGGTTGTATTATTATTATTATTATTATTATTATTATTATTAGGTCATCTGTCTGGAGGGCTTTGATGGTGCGTTACCTTTATGGCAGAAGGTGGTTGAACTGGATGGCCTTTGGGGGTCCCTTCCAACCCTAGGATCCTATGGTTACATTGTTGTTGTTGTTGTTATAGGGCCATCTGTCAGGAGGGCTTTGATGGTACTTTTCCTGTATAACACAAGGGGGTTGTACTGGGTGGCGTTTGGAGGTCCCTTCCAACTTTAGGATCCTCTCACTGTATTATTATTATTATTATTATTATTATTATTTAGGCCATCTGTCGGGAGAGCTTTGATGCTGCTTTTCCTTTATGATACAAGGAGGTTGGACTGGATGGC